CTCTCAAAAGCGAGTCTAACCTCACGAAAAAGGGGAAACCAAAGACGACAGCAAATCCATTAACGCGATACAAATGAAAAGGGCGGGGAGGAGCGGGGCGGGGGGCCGGGGTATTGCACATCATCGTTTGTTCTTCATACATCTGATTTAAAAATATATATATTTACACAAGTAAAGCGACCTGGGGTTTTACAAAATCCCTACGTTTGTTTTAGACTCTTTTACATGTAAAAGAAAAGAGAGATATGGGGAAAAAAAAAAAAAAAAAGCTAAAATCTCCGAACTTCCATTTCTTCCTTTTTTCCAAGGAATAAACCCTTGGGATTCCTGTTTTCCTGCAGGGCACTGGGGCTTTTCACCCCGAATTGTGGATCTTTGCTCCGGCCTCAAGCGTTTTGGGGAATAACAGTCGGGAGGCGGCGTGTGCGGCGGGAGCGGAGCCCGATCCGGGCGGGAAGAGCGGCCGGAGGGAGCGGGGCCGGCGCAAAACGCCCGTTTTGGACCCCGGCGGGTGGAAAATCCCCCGTTTCCACACCAAAACAGCCCCCTCCATGCCCAGCCCGGCTCTTATTGCTTCGTTAGGGAAAACGAGCGGGATTCGGCCCCGGCCGAGCGCCTCGGAAGCGGCGGCCACCCGTTCCCGGCGGATACCGGCGCGATTCCCGCCATGTGCAGCCCGGACTCCGGCGATCGGGACTTCCAGGTGCTCGGGGCCAAAACCGGCCGTTTCCGCCTTAATCTCAGCAATGGCCCGGGCTGGGTTAGGAGGCGGCCGGGAGGCTCCGCGGCGGCGCCGGGAAGGGCCCCGGCGTCCGGCCCGGAGCGACCGGGCGCTCCCGCCCCGCGGCCGCCGCGCACGGCGCCGCGAGAAGGGGAAAAACRCAACGAAATGAGGAGAGAACGAAGAGCGACGAGCGCGGCCGACTCGTGAGGTGGTTTCGTTGGTGTTCGTACAAAAAAGAACAGCTTTGGTTTCATCCTCGGAGAGCGGCGGGCGGCCGCTCCCGAGCGCCCGTTTTTATGCCTCGTGGGCCGGGGGGCAGCGGGACCGGCCCCGCTCCTCCCGGGTTTTTGGTYAGCGAGGGTCCCGCCGTTCCCGGCGCGAGGGCTCCACAGGGGCGGGATGCGCGGCGGGCGCCCGTCCCGTCCCGCGGGAACGCCGGGGCAGCCGGGCCCGCTCCCGGGAGCGGGCAGCGCCCAACGGCGGCCGCCCCGGCAGGGATGCCCCGGCACCGAGGAGGAGGAGCGGGAGGCAGAGGAAGGCTCCTGGCGAGCCCCCCGGGACACCCGCCGCCTTCCTGCGCTCCCGCGGCTCCGACGCCGCGCGGGATTCAAGTGATGCGGGGAGGCAGCTCCGCGGGGGCTCCCGGCGGCGCCTTAAAGCTGGGGACCCCCCCGGACCCCCCCGGCGGGGCGGCGCCGGCCCGGGGGGGCTGTGGGTTTTAGCACCTGATCGGAGGCTCTCGGCGCCCGGCGCCACCGAGGGCGGAAGCGGCCTCGCCGAGTGAAGCGAGCCGCTGGGAGGGAGGGAGGAGGGGAAAAAAAGAGAGTTATAAAAAAGGGAAACTAAAAAGCTTAATAAATAACGGAGGGAGGGGAGAGAAGTGGGGGAGGAAAAAGCACAAAAAAAAAAAAAGTCTGTTAATATTTAAATAACTCCATTTATAAAAAGGCAAATTGTTAAGAGCTCCCCCTCGGCGGGGTTGGTTNCAAAAAAAAACAAAAAAAAAAAACCAAACACAAAAACCCAACAGTTTCATGCCCTGGGGGTGGGGGGGCTGCGCTGGAGGCAGGGGGAGCGGGGCCGGGCGCGGGCGCCGCGCCGGGCCGGGGGGGTTTAGCCGACCTTGTGCTCGCCCCGCACTATGTGGGACGAGAACTCGTAGCGGTCCTGGCTGTGGTAGCCACAGATGTTGCACTCGAAAGGGTCTCTGAAGCCGTGGCAGCCCATGTGGATGGTGAACATGACGTGGTCCAGGAAGAGCACGCGGCAGTGCTCGCACGTGAAGGCGCGCAGCTGCTCGCCGTGCGCGTTGAGCACGCGCAGCGCCTCCTTGGCGCCGCCGCCGCGCGCGCCCGCCGGCCCCTCGGCCGCCTTGGGCTCCTCTTTGGCGTAGGCCGGGCTCTGGCGGCTGCCGCCCGGCGGCTGCGAGCTCCGCTCCTCGTGGATGCTCTCCGTGTCCGTGGAGTCGTGGCAGCCGTTGGCGGGCGACGCGGCGGCCTCGCGGCCCCGGTACAGCAGCTGCGCGCCGTCCGCCGCCTCGTCGGGGCCCTCGGCCGCCTCGCGGCCGCCCGGCAGCTCCAGGCGCGCCGGCAGCGGCTGCAGCTGCGTGTACACGGAGCTGATGACGGGCGTCACCTCGGAGATGCAGTTTGTGGGCGGCAGGCGCAGGGGCCGCAGGTGCTCGCCCCCCATGAGCGCCAGCGAGCCGCCGTACGCCGGCTCCAGCGGGTGATGCGCCGACACCATCTCCACGTCCTTCTCGAAGCCGGCACTCACGTCGAAGGGCAGCTCCGAGAGCGTGAAGCGCATCTGCTTCTCCCCTGCGCCCAGCGAGAGGGCTGTGAGCGCGGGCCCGGGGGCATGGGGTGTTACGGGGACGTGGGGCGCTATGGGGGCACAGGGCCCTACGGGGACACAGGGCCCTACGGGGACATGAGGCGCTATGGGGCACGGGGCGCTATGGGGACACACGGTGCTATGGGGATGCGGGGCGCTCTGGGGATGAGGGGCGCTCTGGGGATGTGGGGCGCTCTGGGGATG